GTGTGTGTGTGTAGGTGCGTGTCTCACAGATGAAGTTTGTCCCTGGAGAAGCAGTGTGAGAGAAACTTGGTGCGTTCGTGGTCCTGATGTGGTACTTTGGGCTGGAAAGGCTGGTTCATTTTCCTCCACACTGTGCTCATACTGGACCCGAAACCACTTTCCTCTTTAAGCTCATAACTCTGATGAAACACACAACACAAAATGAGTCAACTTAGTTAAGTGCCTTACAGTTCTGAAGAAAATACAATTTGTAGAAATGAATGCTAATACATTATTCATATAAATATCATGATCAGTGTCTCTTTAGGATTGCTTATTGAATTCTGTGGCTCTGTAAAGAAGGTTAAAGACTCTTTATCAAAACCTTACATTTACCAGTGATGTTTTAGATTTAGAACATTTTCTACGATCAAAGCTTAAAAAGAGCTGCACATGGACTGCTAATAAAATTCAAACTGCTACTGAGATCTCACCGTCTTGGTGGGGACTTTAATCTTGAGAAACTCTGCCTCTCGACACAGTACCGGCCAAGGCGCGTGGAGACGAGTGAAGCTGGGGCCGTGGGTCTTTAACTGAAAAACAAACATAACTTCATGTAAATATATCTTGATTTCGTAATTGAATGCTGACCCGAACCTTCAGGAACTGAGAAAAACATGTCTACCCAGTCTTGTGGTCAGATTCAGTGGGTAAAATAATCAATATGTATGTCTGGATGCTTGAGAGCTGCAATGGGTTATCCTTGTTTCTTCAAATGGATCCCCAACAAGACACAAGGTACTCAGTTACATTCATCAAGCATAGATGCCAGCTTTAACAATAGGAGGATTAGGAGTTTTATTCTTCATGTTTCTCTGTTCCTCATGCATATGTACTTTGTGTCTGAGCCAAACATTTTTTCTACTTTTAAACTCTTTTAGTAGAAAAAAACTTTTATTTTTGGGGGAATATATTACCAGACTGCTTGGCTGAAACTACCTGCTTACCAGACCATCTGTCAGTTCTGCTTTGCAATCCAATATAGCCGACAGACTTTTTGCAGGAGAGGCCTCAGTATGTGCGGCACTTCGCTGTACTCAATTGCTTCTCAGTTGCTTTTGCCTTCAGACCTCAAAATTGGCATCTGAAGCTGCAACTCAACATTTCAGATTGCACAGCACTCCAAGTTGTACTTTACATCTGAACCAGTCACAACCAATCCCTGCCATCAGCCTGACCCACTGAAACAGTTGGCGTACCAGTTTGGCCAGCAGCATAACTGGTACTTATAAAAGATAGATGTAGCCTCTGTTCCTAAAGCAAAGCCTGGAGCTGTTTTTCTTCACTACTTTGTTGTTGCAGCCAGTTCCTGACACATTTTATATGTATTTACTGTATGTAAAATAAAATCCTGACTCATCTAGCTTGTTCTGCTAATGAATCATTGTCCGGTGCCCACACTGTAATTATTATTTAGTATTAAGATGCATTAGCAAAATGTGATAATTGTCAGCTTCAAATAGCATCAAAAGGTGCGTGACTGAATTCTAAATTTCAGTACACTGACAACTTCTGGCCCTCTGTAGTTGACTAAGGAGCAGCAATTTAACAGAAACATAAAGCTCATTGTGAGCAGCGGTGAAAACTGCTGCTCCAAAATCTATGCAGCAGCCATTACGGAGCTGCTCTGCGGTGTGAGTGAGTTTGTGTAACCAGAATTTAAAGAGAGCAGAGCCAGCAGGGGACAGCCAGGTAACCTTACCCTCCTCAGACCCCCGTCAGCTTCAGTGAGGGGGGGGTGACAAGAGAAAAGTGGCATGGCAAATGATGGAAACCTGAAACGATTCCCTTTCTCCTCTCTCGACTCCTACTCTCCTGAGATCTCTCACTCCCCCTCACCACCACCCCTCCTCACATATATATTACTGTACCTTCTGCTACCCGCTAGACACTGTTTCACTGACTGATTGACTGACTGGCTGACTCACTAACTGTCACTCTTGCTCCTCTTATATTTCATTATCTTCTGCCTCACTCGCATCTACACTGTCCTTGGTACAAAGGGACACAGTGGAGCGTAAAGCCATTAGCCTTTAACTCTCCTTCATTAAAATGTTACAGAACATAATGTACATATAAGATAACTGTTTGTAGGTAGCATGTAGTTTTAATGTTTGAACTTTCAGTCTGACTTTGTGTTCACGTTAGCTGTGTCCTGTTGGGGAGGGGTTGTTATTTTTGCCCTAACCAATCAGTGTCAGGGCAGAATAAGCAAGAGTGACATATTTGTCTCAAGGATGTCGTTTTAAGTCAACATGGAAGATGGCTGCTAGGAACTGTTAACTTAATGTTTGTCATGTCCATCAGGCAAATGTGCACATTTATGATTTGTTATTTCTGCAAGTTGGCTTACAAAAACCTGTAAAGCTGTGTCAGTCTCATCCACGCCTGATGCCATTTTTCTGGCTCTTTGCAGAAAGATGACATCCTAAATCCTATACCTGCCGACAAAGCTCTTTGGTTCACCGATCCAAGAAATAGCCATCAATGAGCACCAACCCTGATGCTTTTAAAGGTCCAGTGTGTAACATTTAGGAGGGAATAAAATAGAATAGAATATTCATAGGTATGTTTGCATTATTTATTGGGAGCGACTGGGATTGAGCAACAGGTTTCCTCCAAGTGAAAATACTGGAGATACATGAAGTTATTTGAAGATTATTATTTTAAGGAGAAACACGTCAATTTCTGTTTTCAATTAAAGATGAACTGCAGCGAGTCTAAAAACCTTGCACTGCCAACAACAACATGTTTTTTCCACACCCAGTGCAGCCGTGATGTAGCATGATGCTTGGTGTGGTCATGATGAGGCCACTGTACACCTTTGTTTTTGTTGTGCCTAGATGGAAGATGCTGTGCTTTCTAGTTAAATTTTTTTGCAGATGACCCTTCGTTAGGACTGGCTGCATTTTTTCATAAAGGGATCAAATCATGGTAAACACAACTGCTTACCTGTATCTCAAACAAGTGCCAATTTTTATATCAAGTGTTTCTCCAAATTAGACCAAAAATCCCAAAATCGCTGTTGCTACTTCTTCCCCTGAAGAACATAAACAAGTAGGAAGTTCTTTTCCTATTGGCCCTTCACCACATACTACACAGCACCATCTTCTGAGTGTTCTGAGTGGTGGTCTTTGTTCATAGTGCTTATTGTACTGTCACAAAATGAAAATGTGCAATATTATAAAATGCTGCCTCATTATTTTTACTTCAGCCTCCATACCTTGCCTTCCTCCCTCTCTTACTTATACCCAGCTTCTACCAACATCCATTATATTCTACCCATTGGCTCACATTCATTTCTCAGCCCTCTCACCCGTTCTCCCTCCTCTCCCTTCCCTTCCTTACCCCCTCCCTTCTTTTCCCTTCTATCGCTCCATCAAAAAGCAGAGGATATAAATACCTTTCAGCCTGGAGAAGGTTAATTAGTAGAGGGATTTCCAATTAGCTCTTTATCTCTGTGGGAGGGGGGGGTAACTAGGACGCCGCCGGGGGCGTCTTTGGATGATGGGGGGTGCAAAGGGGGGGCATCAAGTATGAGAGGGTGAGCTGTTGGGCAACAGGGTCGCTGGGTGGAAAGTGAAGTGTTGAGCAGAGAGACAATGAGTGAGGAAGAGAGCGGATGGTGAGAATGAGAGAAGGATAAAGACAGTGACTGAGAGGGAGGTAAAATGGATCACACAGAGAAAGACAAATAAACGCAGAGACACAAAGAGAAACAGCATGAAAGGGGGGGTTGACATTACAGAATCATTACAGGTGGGCGGATCGTGGGATCACCCTGGATACATCTCTGGTTACCTGTTGCACACATATGCTCAACTTACCTGATCATTTGTGTTGACTGGCTGTATTTTTCTTACAACAATCACTGAAACCTGCTGCTTCTTGTTTCCACATAATAAGAATGAGATCATAAATTCTCAAGGACCATGTCCTAATATTGGTGGATTTTAATTTATGATACATCCTAACATTATGCAAAGCTTTTATTTTCACATTTACATTTATAGCAGGAGCAGCTACAGGTTTCTGCTGCAGAGCTTTAACACACTGAAAACCTCATCCCTAATATATGGAGTTTGGAGTTGCCACAGTAACAGTTACTAGAATATTGCAATATGTATCCTGTTTTTTTTAGAAAAGCTGCAGTGAAATCAGGCATTTTAGGCTGCCACAATCCTAAAAAAAAGACTGCAAAATCCTGGAGGTACCGTTTTATCTTATAACTGGAGCAACAGGGTACTGTTGTCTCCTCACAAAGTCCAAACACATGGGTATTAAGGTGAATGGGAAAATGTGTTAGTCCGTCTATATGTGTGAGAAAAAGTTGCGACTATAAGTCTACTCGCAACTTTTCCTAGGGAGTACCTGGCGTCTCTACCAGTGCATTCTGGGAAAGATGCCAACCTCCTCTAAGCATAGATGTATAAACATAGCTAGATACCGCCACTTTTTGTCCAAGTGTTACTTGCTGTATTGCAACTGTGAAATCCATTGCAACTCAAAAAGCAATTCCCCATAGACCACCCTTACATAAGAGACGTCTGTCAAACCATTGACAGGACACTTCTGACTGCAAACAAGGCGAGAATTATGAATGTCCATGGAGGTTTTTATATTTTCAAAACTTTCCCAGACCCTAAACTACCGTCATGCGTGACATAATGACAATGTAATGTCTATTAGGGCTTTTCTGCACTTCTGGCCATGCCAAGTCAAACCCTGATTTGCGTTGCCAATTTAAACACATCGAGTTGTGCCAGAATGCGCCCAAGATGGACCCAACTGCCTCCAAGCAAGCTGTTTGCTTTCAAATGTATAGGAGTGAAAACTCAACTTTCATGATTTTGTTATTCATAATAAAAGCTTTTAATATTAAAGTAACCAGACTTTTTATTGGGAAGGATTCATAGGAAATAAAATGTGTTTATCAACATAGCAGAGCTTAGTAAGCTGCTTTTCTTCAATAAAAACAAGTTGGCATACCACAGAGAGAAAAATGGCGTGTTTATCTGTGCTTTAGAACATAACTGCTGTGAAAAAATCAGCAATAAAGTTTGCCTTATCTCCCCCTGAGTTTCACGATGCTAACATAACATTTAGAATCATTTTTTTCTTGTTTAAGAGATCAGTGTTGTGGGTTGTGGATGTGGTTTTCATTATTTTGTGACATTCACCTTAATATAACTGTTGCAGTAATTGCATGACACACCTTTCCCTCCTTTCCCTAATATTGCAGTACTTGGATTAGGTTACTGCATGTTTTTTTAACAAGTAATTAATGATTGTATCAGATTACATTTATAAATTAACCCTCCCAATCCTGTTTGTAACAATACAGTACAGTGTAACAGAACCGTATTGCCGTAACTGAATGTGCTTTATGAAACATTAAGTGTTGCTTTGTTGAACGGTTGGTTGGTTGGTTCAGTCATTCATTCGTTCATTTATTCAGTAATCGTCAGTGTTCTTGATATTTGTTGCCTTTAATTGACATTTCTCTACAACACAGTGTTGCAGCAGGACTTGAGCAGGCAGGTGTAGTACAGAGGAGTGTGCTCTCCTTCCGTCTGTTAAGCAATTTGTGTTGGCGAGAATCACTCTCTGCCGACGGGAAGTCTTACCAAACAGTTAATCCTGCTCATTCTGTTTCACCAGGCCCCCACAGACTGAACTCTTCAGAAGTCCCGGCTCTACTTCTTAAATTAACATCTTGCTCTGATTTAATTAAAAGTGTTCTGTAAGAGGATGTCCCTAAGAGATCAAAGGTCAGCTCAATAATCCTCAGACACAGTCAACAAGTTTGACATTTAAGCCGCTCTTTTTTTTTCTAGCAACCAATTAATGTGAAGTCAAACAGGTTGCTATAAAAGAATGACTTACTTCAGGGGTACTGCTACACTGAGCAATGCTTAAGCAGTGAGCACTCACTCTATCATTTTTTGTACTTGGCCAATAAGTCACATCCATCAGAGGGAGGTGTGGCCAAAATCAGTCTTGTAACTAGGCTTGGGGAGTAACAGATTACATGTTACTGAGTTACGTAATAAGGATATTTTAATCCATTACAGTTGCAGAAAAAAAGACCTAATCAGATTACAGTTACATTTAATAAAAAAGGGAATTATTAGCAGGATTACAGTTTTAAAATACATTTTTCTTTTCTGAAGTTACATTGTTCTGTTGTTTTATAGAATAAATGTATTTTCTCTTGGTTTTATCTGCATATTTGGTGTAGAAGTAATCCAAAGGTAACAGAAAATAATTAAGTTATGTTACTTTAATATTGCAGTACTTGGATTAGGTTACTGCATGTTTTTTTAACAAGTAATTAATGATTGTATCAGATAACATTTTTAAATTAACCCTCCCAATCCTGTTTGTACAGTACAGTGTAACAGAACTGTATTGCCATAACTGAATGTGCTTTATGAAACATTAAGTGTTGCTTTGTTGAACGGTTGGTTGGTTCAGTCATTCATTCGTTCATTTATTCAGTGCCACGTTTTCAACCTGCTGTAAAAAACAAAGCCAAATAGAGGAGTATTTTTACTTACTTTTAAATTCTAAATAGCAGATTTGCTTGTAAAGTGAAATTTGAGGTTCATAATTAAATACCAGGACCACAAACAGATTAACCATAACCCATCAGAAAGTATTGCAAAATGCATTCAAACCTATTGGCACACATTCAATGATCCTTGAAACCAACAGGTCATCAGTTAATTCTCTGTCTCTGTGATGTTCATATATTTCAAATTAGAGAATCTGTTTGCATCATCCTGGTGCAGATACATTCATTTTGTTGCTGGTACTGCATGAACTCAATTCATTTGCTGCATTATTGTATTATCTGCACACAGACTATTACTGATTTTCAATTTTCTGATCTATATAAGTGATTAAGTGAGTGGCAAACCTGCAGTTATTATCAGACAACGCTCCCTCTCTTTGCCTCCCACAACCACATCAAGCTACACCCTGATGGAAGCAGTGTTATTATGTTGTCAGTCATTTTTGCAAGAGTACCTGTCGTTACATTCAAATGAGGAATATAGTAATGCAAGCCCCCCCCCCAATCAGTAAGATGCGATAAGGAGCTAGCTATCAGTCAGTCAGCTAATCTCATCCTGGCTTAGGCTCCGTGGCCGCACTGTCAACAATCTGATTAATACTAGCCTGCAGACCTCACACACTGCCAACTGGCTGCCAGCCAACACACACACATGTCCACAGTCACATGTATAGCGAAATGGGTATCACACACAAACTAAATACTCTGTAAAAGTCTGACTACCCTAACTCTTCCTTGAACATTATACTCCACTGTAATAGTGTAAGAGCATATTGGTAACCATATCACTGCTATGATGTAACAATTAACAAATTGCAAAAAACGTTCCTTGGAGATTCCAACAGCTGAAGCTAGCAACACTTAATTTTCCCAAATGATTCCTCTCTTAGCGTCAGAGCCAAAGAGCAGCAGCAGTTCATTTGGTAATGAGTGGAACTTTAACAATAACTACATTTGTACAACTCTGTGGCAGTGAGCCTGCAGCCCCACTACAAGAACACAGAGCACACAGACTGTGTGTTCTGCCAAGCGTACACACACATACACACACACACACACACGCACATGCGCAGACCAATAGCAGGACTGAACTACACACTCTCACACACAAATACTGGTTGCTACGTAACACACAATCACAGCGAAAGCGATTTGTACATGTCAAAACAAAATTACCCGTTTCAGGCTGAATTAGTTAATCGATACAAAGGGGTCAGCACAGCAGCTGTGTTGGCTGCAGCGACCAGAATTAGTCTGCCAGCTCACATGAAACCATCAGGCCCTTGTGTGGACTCCAAAATAAACAGTCCCAGTCATATATATGGGCGGTAGACAGAAAGTAACAGAGGCATCACATGAGAGACGAGTTTAGAGTGTAAGTAACTGACTCATGGTTAGAAAACAGTTATATTCAGTAAACTGCCACTTAGCAGCGCAGGTCGTCTATAAAAGAGGTCAGAGAATCAACGCTGAATGTGAATTTTCAAAAGAAAATGAACAGAGCTCAGAACTGAGACCTCACCGTATTTTCATCGGATGAGAGGAAGTCATTAAAATTATTTTTTGAGATCAGTTCATAGGCTCAGAATTGGTCTAATCTGGGCCTGAAAAATGGCAAAATGGCACATTCGATACATGCTGACCACGCAGAACAGTCATCAGTCTTTACTGTTTCCATAAGATCAATGCACATACACAAATATCGTAGGTTTAAGGTTTCATTTGTCTTCTCTCAAGAAGAATAACTCATCAGACTTGATTTTTTTTTTCCATGGCTCAGGTTTGCAGGTTTGGTGCAGCTTGCA